GGAGGGCCCCCGAAAGATGGAGTGTACCCGAAAAGGTTATCAGAAGACCCCGATAAGACCAGAGGACCCTAAATTTTAACACCAAAAACCAATGTGCAAGACCCCCGAGCAATCCAGTGTGGCCGAAGAGGCGAACAGAGGGAGCCCCCGACAAGGGCGTAGGGCCCCATTCAAATAACATGTGCCAAAGACCCAATGTAGAGGGCCCCCGAGTGATTAAATGTGCCCGAGCAGGTTGTCAGATAGACCCCCTCCGAAGGGTAGGCCCCCCATTAAGAAAAGAAGTACCCAAAACCCAGTGTGAAGGGTCCCCGAACGACTGGTGTGTCCAAGCAGGCCATCAGATGGGCCCCGGACAAGAGTACAGGGCCCTAAGCAAGTGATAGAGAGTTGGAAGTCCCCTAGACCAATGAAGAGGGCTTACGAGCATACCGCAAGTGTGTCAGTAGGTTAAGTGAGACCCACGTAAAGGCCCCTGAGTGACCGAGAATACCTCGGCAAGTTAAGATATAGGACCCCGGCTATAGCCCACAGACCCTCTCTGGCGAATGGAAAGAACACGTGGAAGGGCCCCTGATTGGCAAGAGTGCCCCGGCACACTAGTAGGAAGGGTCACAACAACAGCGCAGCCCCCCCCCCCCCCGAGCAAATGCAAAGAAATAAAGGATAACATGGAATGCTCCTTAACTATCGAAATGATCCTGCAAGTGGGCATATAGGTCTCCCAGAAACAGCATGGGCCCCTTGCCAGTGTAATGTGGCTTAAAATTTCCAGTTCACAACTTTTCCAATCATTGATTTTTTACTTCTCATAGGTCCTTCACTTTCCTTTACAACTGCTCTTGGTCGTCTGGAAGACCTAAGATATCCAGTTTTGTTGTGTTTTGTGTTAAAAAAACTGCACCTATTTGGCCGGCGATGGGCCCCCTCGGAGCCAATGAGCCTTTTCGGGGCCCAAGGGAGGGGCATGGCCCCGCGGCCCTCCTCTGGATCCGCCCCTGGACAGTGTCGTCTGACTAGTTTATGTAAGCTTGCAATGTTTGCACTTATTGGTAGTCCCCGAGCGTAGTGACATGGCAAATTATCGGTGCTCGCAGTTTGCGGCATTTTTCAACGGATGCGCGTTCGCAGGTTTGCTCTCGTATATGTATACATATATATGTATATAAATACGATGGAGGAATATACGTAAAAGGGGACATCCATTTTCCTAAGAATCTCCCTGTTTAAGGTCAGAATATGCCGGTTCTCGCACGCGCTCTGGTCGACAATGGCATCGAACGGGCGTGAATTCATGTCGTGGATTGTCATGAACCATCTGTGCTGGGCATCCGGGTAAAAAGTATGCGCACACAGAGAGTCGTACGGTACTGCATATTACACCAGAGGTTCTCGCTTGCTTTGCTGCGCGAACAGGCGCCATCATCGTCGTCGGTGGCGCCGCCACCAAGCGCACCGCTGTCGCGCGCAGATTTTATTTGGTCCGTCCAGCAATCCGGGCAGTCGTCTGTACTATGTGTCCGACTAAGGAAGTGGGGGAACGACAGACAGATATATTCGCAGAAATATTTGAATAAGACTAGGCAAGAGGTTACCACTTGGTTCGCGGCGCAAAGAGACGATGCTGCTGGGGTCAGCAGCTCCCCACAGCGGCAAAACATTGACTCGTGTTTCAACGATGTGAACTGAATCTCAGTCAACGCAGAATCTCCAAACCACGCAAGGTTTTTTGGTCTTCAATTGAGACTTCCGGTTCCATTCGTGTCTGCCTAATGCCGATGAATCTGTCGCTTCGTGTCTGACAAGCTTGCGCAAGCTGGCTAAGCCTCGCAAGTTTGATTCGGCTGTGCTGGATGAGATGCTCCGTCACCGCTGGTGTGCGGGATTCGGCACCAACGGCTGCAGTCGCGGCTGCTGAGCAAAGCGCGACTGACTCGGGTGACTGCCGTGGAGATCACCCAGGCCCAGGAGTCAGCAGCTGGCAGCGCCGCTAAGCTCAGGGGCCGGGCGGAGCCTGCTGACGTCATCAAGCGGGTGGGGGAGCCGGACGGGGAGGACAGCAAGCACTGGAGAACTGCAGTCAACAAGCACTGATGGATTATAACCGACGGAATCTGCGGCTGGACCGGACCGCCGAGTATCGGCGGACCTGTGCACGCGAGGATGCCCTGCGGGGGCCGCCGCCGCGGGACGCCCGCGGCCGCTGTCTGAGCCGGCGGCACGTCTCGAGGGGCTGTCCGTACCGCCCGCGGCGCTGTTTCTCGTGCGGTGCCATCGGCCGTGTGAGAGTGGCCTGCCACGATCGGGCCCTCAGCGTATCATACAGGCGATGGAGGAAGAGGCGCTGCTGCAGGCGGCTGCTGCTGCGGCTGCTGAGGGGCGCCCTGCCGGCGGTGCGGGCGATGATGGCGGTGAGGGCGAGCCGTGCTTTCTGCTTCGAGTCCCGTCAGTCCAAGTGGGCGGCGATCGTGAACTACCTTTGGTGGTTTGCGTGGTCCCCACGGTCAACCTGTGCAACTGGCGCCGGACACAGTGGCAGCGCTGTCTGTTTGCCCTAAGCAGGAGTTTAAGCGCGTATGGACAGTGAATAGGTCCGACATTTAGCCATGTAATAAAACTCTTAAAACGTACAGCGGGGAGGCGTTGTTGTGCGGCCAAGTGACGGTGAATGTCTGCTATGAAGAGCAGCGCACACAGCTGCCGTTGATTGCGGTCAAGGATGAGGGGTCCGTTCCTGTTTGGACGTAACTGGCTGTCACAGTTGATAATGGATTGGCCGTCCGTAAGCCGTGTGACAAGTGAGTGTCAGACCGAGAGTGTCTTGAACGAGCTTAGGCAAGACATTAGATAAGACAGTAGTCCAATACAGCAGTACAAGCTTTACTCGTCGGAAAACCAGGATAATGGAGATATAGTTAGGTTGATGTTTCGGCAACATGCCTTTCTCGAAACAAAAGCAGAAGTGATGTGCACTAATAGCACTTCTGCTATTGTTCCGAGAAAGGCATGTTGCCGAAATATTGACCTAACTATATCTCCATTCTCCTGCTTTTTTCCAAGGAATAAGGATAATACTACTGCCTTATCTGTGTGACTAATGTTTCTCGCTAATGCACTGAACAACTTACGTGAGTTTCCATTAGTTTTGAGCGAGGGTTTATGCCGTTACCAGCGAGCGGAAGTAAACATCTCTGTAAGTGGACCCGGACGTAAAACCAGCGTTCTTCTAGGCTCAGTTGTGGTCCAGTTGATGTAATCTGCGTTAGGCGTGATGAAAAACGTCCAAACAAGCGGCTCGACATTTATCCGTTCTCTTCATGCACATCAGAAGTCACGGTCGAACATTTGCGCACTCGATTTACTTGCTGAGGATTGCCCAGAGCATGTTTGACATGCACAGCGTTTCAGGTCTGAAGCTTTCAGACATTTCATCGATCGAGCGGAGTAGCATATCTGGCATCGCCGACGCTGTCACCAAACCCAAACGGTTTGACAGAGCGCAGAGTCCAAACGTTTAGAATGAGTTTGTTTAAATGGACCGCTGGCGGCGTTCACACCAAAATATCACGTTTCCTGTTTCGCTACCGTGCTACACCGCGCAGCACAACGCACGTTTTCCAGCTGGGCTGTTTCTGTGTACATCTATACGTACCCCGCTGGACCCGTTGAAACGTGGTCTGAAGAGACAGAGTGAGGAGAAATCAGGAGAAACAGAAACCATACGCAGATCGGGGTTTTAGGGAGCGATGTGTGCGGGTAGGAGGTGTGGTGTATGTGTCGGCAGTGGATCGTGGTGGAGGTGCGGAAGGGAGAAGGTGGCTTGCGGGTGTTGTAATGAAGCAAATAGGAGTAAAACGGGCTGTTCAGTTACAGTCTGGAAGCATTTGGACCATGCGCGCCCTGATTTAGACGTAACTGAAGTTAAGTTACCATCACGCACTGCCAGTCAGGCGGACCGAGAAGCGACCGATGCTCCGGTGAACGCGCGCCCAGTCTCACGTGATCCCCCGCGTGTCCCGCGTTATGACCGATGGCTGAAGGAAACGTGTCAGTCGGACGGGCTGCAGCGTTCTCAGGTGTTCAATATTGCATTGTACCGGTTGGCATGTCGCGTGTGTTTGTGGAAGCTGGGTGCGCTGTTTATTTTCATTTTGTTGTGTTTTGCTCAGGTGCTTTATGAGCTCTTCGAAAGAGTGCGAGGTGGAGGGATGCAACAGTGCGTGTCTGGCACCGCCTCTGCCCGGCCGACCTTGGCCGGCCGTCCCCGCCCCAGGCTACGAGAGGCGAGGCCGGACCGGTCGCCGGACCAAGTAGACAGTTCAGAACGGGACGCTTGTGTGTTCAATTCAGCATGGATGAGTCGAGTAGGCGAAATTGTGCACCAGCCAAAAGTAACTACAGGTGTATGTGTAACATGACAATAGTACATCTTGAGTTGTGGTGGGTTAGAGCAGATTAAGTCCTCTATCTCCTCTTTCCCCCAGTCACCCGAGCTCGCCTCTCAGGAGACGTTCCGAAGTATGCCTTTAGTCTGACCTCTCTTCTTTTTGGAACGTTGCTATGCCTACGCATTGTTACGCTTTGGTTACACTGCATCAAAACGTCTCCCTCCCTTCATGTAAAACGTACTTTATCGGCGGCCGCTACCCTGTGCCGGTTTACCTACTCGTGCCAACAGGTTTGGCGCCACCCTTTCCCTCTCTCCGCCCCCCCCCCCCCCGCCCCTCTCCGGTAGTCCACTAGCCTTGGTATCCATGGGCTTGGCAATCACTTGCGTCACGAGCCCGCTTCCATGGCGCACGACGCAGTGCCCACAGAGCCTCCCGTGCGGTGCGCGGACGCCCTGTTGGCGTCCGTGCAGTGAGCCCGCTTGCAGGACTGTGTCAGGCACTGTACTGCACGGCGGCGTATAGCCCGTCCCCCGTAGCGCAGCGGAGCTGTGCCAGCCACTGTACCAGTCCGCACTGCCGGCCGCGCGCCGCCGTCCAGAACAACAGAGGCCTTGATTACCACGTGACCGCGCCGCGATACTTCCGTGCGCGTGGCGGCACCTCCACCGTGCCGCACTACGCTGGGCTGTGACGGGCGGCGCGCGTGAAGGTGTGACTCGTGTGACAACGGCGGCGGGCTGGCGCGTCTGAGTCGCTGGCCGGGCTCCAGGGTCAGCGATGATGGAGCTCGGCGACAGGGTGCGCGCCCGGCTGGTGGCGGGCCTGGAGCGGGCCGCGCCGCCCGCGCCCCTGCGCCGCCTCGTCTCCCACCACCGCCGCCGGCAAGGTCATCACGCCTCCGGACACCCGCCGGTGCGTGCTGCGGTAGGCCGGCCGATTATACAGCCGCGGTGTCGCAGACGGCGATGAGCTTGCATGCTGTCGATAAGAACAGTCTTTGTTTCCCTTGAACATTCACGTCAGCAGTGTTGGTTTATTCCTTACAGATAACCTTTTAGCTGGGATCGGTGTTCTTTTGTTTTGTATTCGCTTGATTTTTAGCGGTTTCTGTGTTTTGTATTACGAATGGACTTTTCGGTAAGTAGCCTGTAAAAGAACCGCAGCTGCGTCATGGAATGACGCAGCTGCGGTACGTCTCCCTGCTTCGTCGGGGAAAACGACGCGCTGGGTGGGGATCGGACCCACGCGTGCATGTCTCCCCGTCGTGTGACGCGTCAGAACGAGACCAATGGTCTAGCCATTGTACGATCTGGATGACATACTTTATCGAGGTATACCGATTGCAAACCCTTTCGATCGTACTTTGCCCACCAGCGATTTCCTACGTATTTGGCATTTATTCAGGAAAGCTGCCATACGTTTTACCCATGGCGTGTTAGCGCCCAGCGACCTTTGCTGATGACGTGAAGGGAGGCTATACTCAGCTTGAAAACGTCGTGAGATCATGATGCATTTTGAGATCCACTCCTAGCACAGAGTCGTCTCTTGGTTGTCTATCAGTCCACATTTCCTGTTCTGGTGTCATGAAGTAAACTTAGTCGCGTTATGGAAGATCGGGGAGAACTAGGACAGAGGAGAGTTGGTGCAGAACGAAAAGCTTTTGACACCGTAAAATGAACAAAAATAAAAAAAACATTAGAATACCAAAAATAAAATTTTAACAATCATCACATGCTATCCCCAAGCAGCACTTCCACATAGTGACATCCGGTGATGCAGGCAGGGAGGGGGGGGGGGGGGCACAGGGTGTACGTGACCCCGCCATATCTGGATCGACGATTGAAGGCTCAAAAGGCCCGAAAGGCTGGTCCGATGTCATATTCAGCGGCCCGGTCCTCTGTGATGTGCCCTCAAATGTCAGTCAAAGGGCGTAGGGGGCATAGTACCGAACGTGAGGTCCTGCACCCTCTTTCAGCCAGGAGCCGTTAAATCGTAGCGAGGCTCAGTGCCAAGTTTTCGGCCTCTGCGTCGATCCGGGGTCAACTGCCCGGATCAGGTGAACTCCGCGTCAAGAAGGGGACCGATCTATGTGTTTTCCTCTCAGGGCCTCCAGATCGATCAAGGCACTGTCCCAATTGCCCTTTTCTAATCCTCCTGTTCCAATTATCCGGAGCAGCGGAATTTCTCGTCGTCATGATTCACAACAGGGGAGTGGTGCCAGATTTGCTGGCTGTTCGCTTGTTGGTCCCAATAGGCATGCTGCAATCATAGAACCATTGAAAGATTGGATGAGGAAGAAGGCAGTAGGTTTGTGTCCCTCGCGCCCGCCTCACAAGGGTTCCAGGAAGCATCTATTACAAAAGTAAATTCAGCAGTTAAGTTCTGGACCTTTCCGCCGTTGTGGGCACAAGTAGTGGTGAGGGTGTCTCCCGTAGTGGTTGACGGCCGCACCAAGAGTGGCACCAGCCACTCGCCGTCTCGGGGGCTCCGGCGCGCGAGACAGCAGCCGCTGCCACAAAGGATCCTGATCCTGGTGACTGGTGGTCCTGGTCCTGACGCTTCCAGGCTCGTTTCACCTGACAAGTTTCGCGACTATCCCAACTTGAGTTTTAGACAAGGCGGAAGGGTGCTTTACCAAGCCCCTCACTGCATCGCACCCGTCACAAGCAATGAAAATAAATGGACCTAGCAATTTTATCAACGTATCGTGTTATCAAGTGCTTCACTTACGACTTCCTCCGTTCTTCCACTGGCTTAAATGCGCCCACCACACGCTTGGGCCTTCCTGTCTCGACATGCTGCACCAGCCATAATTTAATCCACGATGTTCCACCGCCGATGGACGGCGGCCACTCGGCTAGAGCCCTGACAAAGAATCTGGGTTTCCACTGCTGCGATATTGCCATCGGGGCTCGTAGTCTCGGGGCGAACGCCGCAGGCTTTCTTGGCAGGACCGCCGATGAATCGGTCTTGTGGATGATTGTGTCGAGCTTTGCGGTTCACATTTTGTATGGAAATGCCTGCACAAGCCAGTTTAGCCCGTGCCCTTTACCAGCTCTATAATGCTTTCACTACTTGTTACTCAGAAAAGCGTTGCATTTGTCCTTGACCAAGCTCAGCAGCTTCTGGCAGATATCTTGGAGCTCTTCAAACCATGGAAAGGTCATTGCGCGAGCAATGCAACCACTTCTTACGTGAGAAAATTTGCTAGATTTAGTAATCAATCTTGGTGGTGAGAAGCTGAAGGAATACGGAAAGCATAAAAGCTGTAATGTTCTTTGAAGTAGCATGTGTAAAATATACATAAGCCATTCGACTTGGATACATCAAAACAAATGAGCTTACTTTGGCTCGTGCTCCATGAACCTTGCAAGTATTGCTTTCTGGTAAATCTTGTATAGACTCAAAGCCAATCGCTTCAACATTTTGTAACATTTTATAACATTTTTGGATTATGCATGGGGTAAGGTAGCGTGGTAACGGCAAAGGAACGACCCCCCTCGAAATCCTGTTTAGGCGTCCGATCTGACCTAATGTGATCTGCATGACGTGCGTTGCATTCTGCGCACCAGGCGCCTGCTTGATTCCACACACAAATGATGCACATCACCTGACCTATGGGAACCCGCCTTTGTCCAGCGCCTTATTCACGCTGCGGCGCTGGTGCTGCCATCTAGGAACCAAACACATAACCACAAGCGAAATCGTTCGGCGTTTGGTCTTCTTGCGCCGTTACGCCGAGTGGCCCAAAGTCCGGCATGCATAGATAATAGTCATCAACCATCCAACCATCATCTATCATGACTTGTAATGCAACTGATATCAACCACCCTGCTGCATGGGTTCTATGTGCCAAAACGTCAAACAAACGTCAAAACTTTAAAACCGCGGCGTGACTTCGCTGGCGTCAAATTTGACCCGCACGTTATCATCACACTCGGTCATATCGATTGATGCCCAGAAACAAAAGTAAAACCCAGACAAAATTGTTGAAGTATGCTATCCTATTGCCAAGTCTTCTATCGCCACGCGTGTTGATCATGCCTGACCCAAACTGTGACTTTTACTTATTCGAACCTAGGTGGACCTCTCCAAAGGATACATATTGTCACGTGGTCACGTGAGAGACGTTCAGACGACGTCACTGGTTCGTGTTAGTGCCAACATGTCGATAGCCCCGCCGCGTATTCTTAGTATACTGGACTGTAATGCATGATGTGACGCCAGGCTAAAGTCCCATCCCAGCGCAACTGTGCCGCGGCCGGCAGTTGTGCCGCGGCCGGCAGCTGTGCCACAGCCGGCAGCTGTGCCGCAGCTGACAGCCGAGCTGCGCTGACCCGCTCGGGCCGCTGTCCGTGCTGCGCTGACCTACTCGGGCCGCTGGCAGGGCGCTGAGCCGGGCGCTGATCCGCTGGAACACGAGCTGCTGCTGCTGCAGGTCCGCCTGCGGTACGGTCGCCACCTGCCCGCCATGGACGCCGGCGGTACGTACCCCGCCTCCCTCTCTCTCCGTGGTGCAGCTGCCAGTGCCGGCCCCGCGGCGTACTGCAGGCTGGCTGATTACACTGACATGGTGTTTCTATAGATGAGCGGAAATGTAGTACTTCAGGCGGCGGCTCTTTTAGCTCTAGCGATACAGAAACACCTGAAACATCGCCACTTCTGCGCTTGGGTTGCGGTCGTAACGTCATGTATTAAAACGCTATCAGAATGAAAGCACTAGCAAATAACGCCCGTCTCCCGTATGACCCGTGTTAAAACTAGAACTTGGCCACAAAGAGTAAAGAGAAACTTTATAGCAAAAATAAAAAAGCGTGTGAAGCAGAAGAGCACATCGCGACTTTCTAGCTTATTGAACTCGAGAACGATCTGTTGGTGGACCGTATTTCTTTATCAACAAAGGATGGGCGAAAAGAGCGTTGCTGGGACACTTGCATCTCCCCAACGCGCTAAAGGAACAACATATTAGTACACATCTTGCGAAAGCCAAGTGGACATCGTCTTCTCTCCTACTGCCAAATGTGCGACGCTTCAAAAGTTGGTTAGGTACATGGCAAATTCGCTGCCTATGCGGGCGTACCTGGTTTATCAACGGCATTGATAAGAGGCCTGTTTGCAATTGCGATACCACAATAGAGCCGCTTGTAATCAACCGCACTTGTAATCGACCGAACTGGTACACGGTAGGAAAAGGCAGTCGTTTTCATTGTCCGACCCTGGCTAGGAAGCTGATAAGCATGTTGACGTTCATTAGGCTGCGAAGTCCTTGACGCGGGCAGTGAACAGGGCGAGCGTGCGAGGATGTGGTGCGGACACGCGTAAATATCGAGGTGAAGGTACGGGCGAGGCAGGCACAGCGTTGCAGGACGGACGGAAGCCAGCCGAGGGACTTTCTCAATGGCTTGTCTTGTTTGACGTTAAGTATCTTGACCGATAGTGATATTGATTAACCTACCACATTGTTTGTTAGTGGGTGTCATGTTCTTAAAACTGATCAAGAGGGATTATCGGCACAGTTTTGCTTTTCTGTGATGTCAGGGATGTGCATCCTTGGTACAGGTTTATTTGTTCCCGATTTTTATCGAAATGTTGTGATGCATTCCTATTTCCTGCACCGTGAGGTGGCCACTGGGCGTCTTCGGTCAATGAACCTTTGGTATTGTGTGTCATTGAACTGATATATATATATATATATATATATATATATATATATGTGTGTGTGTGTGTATGCATAATGATATATATATATATATATATATAAAACTATAGCATATATGTATATGGACATGACAAAATACTTCTAGCTTTCCTCGTCGAATAGCCAGGAGAAAGGAGAGATGGAGTAATCAATGCTTCGGCTACATGCCTTTATCAAAACGGCTTTTAGTAATCAATGTAAACTTGGTATTCTGAATCTTGAAGCTCATTTTTTAGTTGTTTCCTGAATTTCTCCTAATTAATATGACATTTTTGTTTTTGCTGCTAAGTTTCTCTTTACCCTATGCGACCAAGTAGTCTAAAGACGGGTCATACGGCAAGCGAGCGCTAGTGACTATATCCAATAAATTTGATTGAAGAATTCAACTCAGATTTGAATTTTAAATATACTTCCCATGGTCGTGTTGATAAAGGCATATAGCTGAAATATGGATGCATGTGTCTCTCGTCTCTCCTATTTATTCGACGCGGAACAGGGCTTAAAGAACTGTCTCGTGCAAGTGTTAAATGTTCCTCGCCCATGTACTTGTCAAGTTACGTTGCATGCACAATTTATATTATTTCTTTCCAGGGACTAGTGATCCGTACGTCAAGTTCAAGCTGGGCTCCAGAGTGGTGTACAAATCTGACATCGCTTACAAGACATTAAATCCAGTCTGGGACGAGGGCTTTCAGGTCATCCTCCGAAATCCGTACCAGAAGCTTCTGTTAAAGGTAACACATCGTCGCGTTGTTTGATATGCGCCTACATCCACATTCTGTTTTCAGTCTCTTGTGCGCGCGCCCCGCCCATTTGCTATCAATGACGGCTTATCAGTTGATTTTGTCACCGGCCTCTAATGGGCAAATACGGCAGCGGAAAACTTTTTTGCGGCGCGCAATGCAGCATGTTCGTCCCGCGCCAGGCCAATACTCTTCGGTCTGTACGAGGCAGATTCAGTCATCTGCGCCGAGCCGTCCGGTGTGTCAGAAGTTCCTCGGTGCACCATTTTTTGGACAGAAAGGGCAATTGTATGTGAAATGTCCTTGCCCTATTATTCCTCACTTACTCGTGCATACTTCATTGGGTGTATGCCGCCCATGCGGCAGCAATCGACCAGT